TAGCTATATCTGCCACCTCACATAGCTAGGGCGCAAATCCTCGCGAATTAAGGTTAAGTATATACTAGACAATTGTCTGCTCCTCTAGTATAGTAAGTTTCTAGCAATTAGCGCGTACGTCTAGTTAAAACGTGATATTGCAAAGGCAATTAGAGACCTGCTAATAAGGTACGTTCAACGCTCTAGCAGCACTGCAGATACTGCAAAATTAGCTAGCATAGAAGGCCTAGATAGTAAGGATAACTCTGCCTTCTCTAGTAGTATTCTAAAGTTGTTGTTGTTAAGGCATGTTGTGTTAGGGTAAAAGGTGGTCGTGCTAAGAGAAAGTGGCTGGTTCAGTGATATGGCTGGCTCGGTGATAATCTACGTTAATGTACTCTATCACTGAGCCGGTCATATCACTGAACCGGTCAAAAACTCTTGGCGCGCCCAACTTATGTTGCGGCAACTTGAATTAACGTAGATTATCACCAAGCTAGCCATATCACCAAACTAGCCACTTTCTCTTAGTATTAACGTACTCTATCACCGAGCTGGTCATAACGTACCTCACGGGCGAGTGGCCGGCCCGGGCGAGTGACCGGATTTTGCCAAGACCACACCAAACTCCATACAACCCGCGATGTCTCAATGCAAAAAGGCTTAAAGCGTCTTAAAGGAACTAGATATAACGTACCCCACAGGCGAAAAAATTAACAGGCAAGAGAATCACTTTTGCTAAGCCCCCACTAAACCACTCTTCCTACACTAATGTCTTTACAACAACACTATTCAGACGCGTAAAAAGAAGCTAAGATACAGCTTGCGCTCTAGGCTCTTAAACAAGACGCGACACTCTCTTAGCAACGTGCTGCAGCTATCTACAGAGTTCCTTAAGCTACACTAAGCAAGCAACGCGCAGGACAACTTTCACGCGCTAATTCTATAGCTAACTTGCAGAAGCTGGACAACAATAAGGAGAAGGTAATTATTAAACATGTTCTTAAGCTAGACGCGCAAGTATTTTCCCCTTAGCTCTTAGATGTGGCTACTATAGCTAATTCTTTGCGCGCTAAGCGCAACCTAGGCCCTATTAGCGCAAACTAGCCTAGTATATTTGTTAAGCAGCACCTAGAGCTTAAAGTTAAGTTTAATTATAAGTATAACTACAAGAGAGCCATCTGTAAGGATCCTAAGGTTCTCCAGGGCTAGTTTAGCCTACATCAGGAAAAGTTATTCCATTGTCGAAATTAGGAAATTGTGGCATTGTACTATAGGCAATAGTAGGACTTATAGGCCTATAATAGTTATTTAATGTGCATTTAATGTCTAGCTAATTTTAAGCTAATAGCTCTAATAGTCTTAACAGGTGTAATAGCTATAATAACTCCTAATCCTGCTATAATAGTAGCTCTATTTAATAAACTATACTTTTATTATATTAATATACTACTAAGTCTCCTCTTTAAAATAAGTTATTAAATAATATTATAGGCCTATTAATAGAATAGTTATTAAGTATAGAAGGTTTTAAGCTTAATATTCCTTGCTAAGACACTAAGTTAAAATTCTTTGCTAGGGCTCTAGCAGCCTGAATGTTAGAAAATATAAGAATATTATTTAATAATAGTAGGTAAACTAAGAATTTTATGCCTAGGCCTGCCTGTTCTGTAGTGTGTGCTTGTTAGCAGGTGCTTTGTTGTGTGTTGTTGCAGCTGCTACGTCGTGTGCTGTTGCAGCTGCAGCTGCGCCAGCACACAACATGTCAGCTGCAGCTGCTATAGTGTGCTGTCGCAACTTCAAAACACAAACCTTCAACAAACAAACCTTCAACGCTCTATACCTCGCGTTGTGTAACGGTCTAGACTCTAAAGCTAAAGAAGAGCTAGAGCTAGCCGGTTACATTAGCTTCGCCGGCTTGGCTTAAGCTGGATATATATTATCTACGCAGTTAACTAGACGTCTAGTTAACTTGTGCATGCTTTTTAGCAAAAATTGTTAGGAAGTAGATATCCTTTATTGGCCTTTGGCCAGACTACTACACGTTGCAGTAGGCCTACAACAATAATTTTTCGCTCATTTTAAAGCTACAATTTCGCTCTATCTATACGTAAAATTTCACAATTTTTAAATCTTTAATGCTAGGGCTAGTAGAACTAAGGGTAGCTATGTAATAATATTATAACATTGTTTTAAGCTTATTAAACATATACACTTAGTGTTTTAGCTGTTAGCAATATTAGCATGAAATTAGGGCAATTAGGCGCAAATTGGGGCCGTTGGGGCCGTTGAACGGCCGTTGCACGACTATGCCACAACTGTCAGCAACAGCCAGTCTGGGCCGGATTTCGAAAAACTTTTCCTGATGTAGCAGCTAACACTAAAGCTAAGTATAGCATCTAGGATAACAACACATACAACTTTAACAAGATAGGCTTTATAATAGGCTAGATCTCCTAAGGAGTAGTTATTATAGCTTTAGAACAACAAGGTTAGCTAAAGGTAGTCTAGCTAGGTAACTAGGAGTGGGCTATAGCTAAAGTAGGCATTAATACTAAAGGATAGGCTATTCCTGCCTTCCTTATCTTTAAGGCCTACTACTACCTCTCTGCCTTGTACAAAGAAGAGGATCTGCCTTAAGACTAGGTTATTAGAGTCTCTAATAATAGCTAGACTACAAATAAGCTTAGTGTAGACTAGATAAACTACTTTAATAGGCATACAAAGGAGCGTACTATTATTAGCACCTACTATTTATTTATTATTAATGTTTATAAGAGCTACAACTCTCTTAAATTCTAGCAGTACTACAAGAATAATGAGATAATTACTCTCTATTTACCTCCCTACTTATTACACCTTACACAGCCCCTTCATATAGCTTATTTTACTACTTTAAAGAAGGTGTATAGGCGCTAAGCTAAAATACTTATATATAACTAGATTAACTATATTACAAAGATAGAGTTCCTACTGACGTACTCCACGGGTGAGTCGTTTATACGGGTGAGTCGTTCATACGGGTGAGTCGTTCATACTGCCAAGACCACACCAAACCTCCACCCTATTATGGCTTGCATTGGCCTACTTTGGCCTTGTATACACTGGTACAGCATGTAATATTATTTAGCAACAGCTTCTACAGGCTTTTTACACGTGCGCAAGTTATGCCCTACCTTATAACACTATTTATAGCATCTTTAGGTTGCCTTACCTCCTTTAACACGCGCTTGCTTCTCTACCTTCTTACTATCACTACGCGCCCT